TCTAATATTAATATATTATCGTCTTTTTTATTTACTTTACTAAAGATTGTACTAATTTTCATAAAGAAAATTTCATTAGTGAGAGATTAAGTATTACCTATTTCAAAATTAAGAAACAAAGTTTAAAATTTCAAAAATTAGATATTAATTACATTTTATTTATGAAATAAATAATTAAAAATTTATTTTATTAATTAAAATATATTAAGATCACAAATCTATACAATTTGATCACAATTATTGAATTAATTGGTCACAAATTATTTCTTGGTCACTGAACAAATTATTTATGAGTCGCAGTTAAAATTTTTTATAAATCACAAATTATTTACGGTTCACAGATCAAAAAATTTATAGGTCACAAATTATTCTCGATCAAAAATAAATTTTTTTATAGATCACAATTTATTTATCGATCACAAAATCACAAATTTTATAAGTTACAACTTATTTAACGGTCACATATTATCAAATGAATTTGTCATAAGTAATTTATCGATTACAACATAATAAATTGTAAGTCACAATCATATTTTATCGATTAAATATTATTTATTAATCACAAATTAACTAATTTGTTGGCTATAATCTACCAAATAATCGATCACAAATTATTTATTGATTACATATTAACCAATTCATTGGTTAAAATCAACAAATAATTGATCACAAACACTCCCATCCCCACCCCCACTTCATCCTCTTCCACCACCACCACATATGTCAACAAAAACCATCACCACCACCGCTTGTATCAACAAAATCACAACCAATGCCACCATTGATCCAACGACGCCACCATCAGATCCACTATCGATCCAACAAAACCCACCTCCTTCGTTGATTCGTCATCACCACTAGATCTACCACCATTGCCACCAACAAAAACCACCGCTACTACTATTTGGTGTGCGTGGGACCTCTATCGCCACAGCACCGCCACCAACCATTAACCAAGTTATCGATCACAACCACCACTACTACCATATATGACCATCGCCGCCACAACCATAGCCATCTTCACTGCTAACACAAATACCAAACACACCACCACCAACAACATCAACATCACCACCACTCACCATTGCAGCCAACATCATAACCGCCACCACCATCACAAAAGAAATCAAATCCAAATAGAGGGATATAGAATACGAAAGATATACCCAGATACAGATATAGAGGACATGGAAGATAGTGGAGCTGTCAAATTAGACATGGGTGACGGTGACAATGACGATCGCTACATGCGTAATCTACATCACCGTTGTGCAGCGCGCCTTGCAGCGCGCATAGGTGATGTCATTGTGCACTAGTCTTTGCTAATAGAGAGACAGTCGCAGGATATAGGGCTCTCAGGTAGCGACGATCCATTTTTTAAGAAGAGTGTATAGAGTTGGGTGAGAGAGAATTGAATGGGGCAGGATAGGAGGAAAGAAAGGGTGAGATATAGAGAGAAAGGAAATGAAGTAATGAAGATAAATTTATGGGCTGTTCTCTTCGTATTTCAGTTTTGTGTTTTTAGTTTTGAATTTATTTTGGGTTTTGTGTTTTGAGTGTCCATTTTGAGATTGCTGAAAACGCGTTCTTTTTGTCAATTTGAAAAATTGTTTTCAAAAATAAAAAAATGAAGTTTTGACTTGA